ATGAATAGGAAATGAAATAAACTTGAAACAGATATTGTATTACATTTTATGATTTAGGCTTCCTTTCATCTTCATATTTGTAGTGGAGATCGCTACTGTCATCAATAGAAATACTTGTCCATCCTTTCTCAGTCACATGGTACACTAGGAACAAACAAATCATGTTAAAGATAAGGGTTAAATTTTTAAAAAAGTGAGCATCAACAAAGATGTACCAACCTCTGATCAAGCCTCCAGATGCTACATCACGGAAGGTAGCATGATAAATAGAGCGGCGACCAAGATCATAGGCTTCATCATTGGTAAGATCCCACTTGTAGCCAGAATCCAGCACACCAAATGCATGGACAGATCCTGACCCAACTGAGAAGCAATCACCCTTAGTGCGTGTCCCTTCGCTGTCCATATAATAAAGGGATGATCCCTGTGCAGAAGAACGGTTCATGTGAGACACAAAGTAACAAAAACAAAAAAAAACATAAAACAACAAAAACATGAACTGCTGACTTACCCTCTTGTCCCAGCCAGTTATCATCATACCAATTGATAGGCCCATTCCTTTGTAATTGTACACCATGTTGGACATTAGCTTACTAGCAGCAGCAATAGAGATTCTTTCTCTGTTACGAAGCTCATACAAACGGCAATGTTTAGCAAGAACTCTGTCCCAATACACACAATCGGCAGCACCACCGGCCATTGTTGCCAATAAATAATCATTGAGCTCAATGATTTTCTTAACCTCAGAAGACCCTAAATACAATATTAATAAACAAAATTTAGTTACAAATTCTCATTATGAAAACAAAGCATTTGAGGTTACCAGGCAAATATTACACTAACCAATGTAGGAGCCTCCAGTGGCACGGGAATCTACAGCAAGGAGAACTCCACCCTGGTAACGGAAGCCAAGAGTAGTTGTTCCATGGTCAAAATGCATACGAATGTCGTTTCCGAGCTCATCTTTCTGGATTGCTCCCAAAGACTCGGCAGGCTGAAACAAAGAGACATTTAAATATCTACATCTTCATGTACATACACACACTTCAAGGGCTCACGCTTTGCAGTTACATAATAATAGTCTAAAAGTAAGTAATTTTTCTTAATAAAAATTGTTGCAGTTGTGAATACTTTCAGAATGACATGACAGATGAATGACTATGCACATTGTTTTGAAGGTTCTGATTGAGATGAGTCATCTAAAGTTCACGTGAAATCGAAACAAGGAGTAAGTAGTGATATTCTAAAATCAATTCCTCGCCTATGGAACAAAAGTGGCCACCGAAGGAATTCAAAAAACGTGAATTTGGGTGTTTATTTCTCTTTTGTGGAGGTTAGGTTCTACTTACGTTTATGTAGGGCGGTACGGCAAGCTGACAGCTATTGTACAAATTTCCAGTATATTGAGCGATGTCATCTTCCATGGGGATGACATTTTTCCTCAAGTTGAACTTGAATTGGGTATCCAAACCACACAATTCTGCGAGAGCCATGACAGAAGCTAAAGTTGAACTAAAAATGCCACTAATGTCCAAATCGCCGGCCACAGCCTTCACCAAGCTTTGACGCCTTGCTGTTAAGCTGTTGTGAGAGAAGAAAAGAAAGAAAACTGAGATTTGAGATGAAAAAGTTTTGAATCCTTACACAAACGCGGGAAATCGAGAAGTGAATTGTTTATTTATTTCTGGGCTGAGTTCATGACAGTTTTTATCAAGTTATTAATTACTGACCCATGTCATAGTTTCTTCTTAAGTTTCCTCTCACTCTTTAACATCTTCATTAGTGTTTTTTTGGACGAATCATTGTTTTGTGATGTTCTTTAGCTACGTTGTAAGCGCATGTGTATTATAGAAGATCTCCTTTCATTCTAACCAATCAAACTTGTTGAGTTCAAGATTAAAGTAATTCGTGCAAATTTTATTGAGAATCTCCCAATAATGTCCCGAACTCCGAAATCTTCCAAACCTTCGGATAAAGGACAAGCACTGAAACCCTCTGATGTATGTGTCATTCGCAAAATTTTGAAAGACCAAATCTTGATGCCTAGTGCCAATCCTTTTCGAGGATCTCCTAAAGAATTTGCTGATGTGCTCTCTCTCTTTCGACGAGCTATGGAACATGGAGAGAGTAATTCAGCTCTCCTGATTGGGCCAAGAGGTTGTGGAAAAACCACTGTAAGTTTGTCGATATTTTATCTGACTCGCAATCCTAATGACGTCTTAGTAATCCTCATATATTTTCCTTAGCTAGTGGAATGTGTTATTGAAGCACTTCAAAGGGATTGCCTAGCTTTTGACGACTCTGTCATTGTGCGACTTAATGGCTATGTTCACATGGATGACAGACTGGCATTGAAAGGTATTGCTACCCAGTTGCAACTAGAAAACACTCTTGGTGATAAAGTCTTTGGATCATTTGCAGGTAATACATAAACAATTTTGCATTTCTTGTTAAATATTTCTTCACTTTCGAGATTCTGTATTCTTTAACTTACTTTGACAGAGAATTTAAGCTTCCTTCTGCAGTGTTTGAAAGAAGGTGACAGAGAACATACAAAATCAGTCATATTTATTTTGGAGGAATTCGATTTATTCTGTCATCATCAAAATCAAACTCTGTTGTACAATTTATTTGATGTTGCCCAGTCGGCACAGGTGAGTATATTTTTCTAGTGATGAATACTTCTCTACCTTAAGATGAAGTTTTAATCTATATTCTTTATTTCCAAAACCAGGCTCCTATTTGTGTACTAGGCATTACCTGCAGGAAGGATGTCACTGACCTGCTGGAGAAAAGAGTTATGTCCCGATTTTCCAACCGTCAGATTCATCTTTATCCTCACGCAACTGAAACATTTGAAGATGGTGTAAAAAATCGTATTCAGCTTTGTAAAGATTTGCTATCAATTAGAAGTGATAACAAGAAACACCCACAGTTGAGTGTCAGGGCTTTACAACTTTGGAACACCCACTTAGAAGGTCTCTTTGTTAATCCTATTGTAGTAGACTGCTTGAAAGACATGTACGCTTACACTGTTTGTGAAAGATCACTACGGAATTTTTTGGTAAGAAAGTTTTGCTGTATTCAAATAAGATAGTAATGGAAGCCATTTTATTTTCCATCAAACTGCCAACTAATCCATCTTGAATTCTTCACAGCTCCTAGTTATCTGCAGACTCTGTGATGATCACCTAGAAGTGACACCAACAGATTTTTCTGAAGTTTCAAGACAAATGCGCCGTAATCTCAGGGTTGCCTTTGCTGAAGGGCTGTCTATCCTCGAGTTATGTCTGGTAAATTAATTAATATTTTGAATTTGGGAAAACTGCTAAATTCTAAGAACAATCTTGTAATATTGTTTGTATTATTCCAGCTTATTTCAATGATGCATCAAAATGAAATTTTTGATAGTGCTCCCTTTAACTTTGAGATGGTTTTTGCACGGCTTTTAAAATTTGATCAACACAGCTCTAAGACAATGACTGTTGATCGTCAGGTTGTTGTTAAGGCATTTGAACATCTCAAGGTATTTTACTCATTTGGTTTTCTATCTTTGTTATTAGATAGGGTCTTCTTAACATTGATTGATTAATTTATTCACATTCTTTTTCATAGAGCCTCGAGTTCATTAGGCCAGTCAGTACCTCTAGTCAAGTACTCAAAGAATTTCAAATGTTTAATTTAATGCTCATCACTGATGAAATTCGAGAAGCTGTTAACAACTATCAAGGACTCCCAACTGAGGTATCGCAGTGGGCATTTTCTGATTACACTTAGTACCTGGGTTTTCCTTATAAACTTGGCCTGTCTACTACTTTTAAGTTGAATGGAACACTTCTTTGTTTATTCTCTCTTTACATTAGAATGACAAGGCTTTTTGTAGGTTCAAATATTATTTTAATTTTTGCTTGCACTTTGTTACACAGACAGTTTTTTCCTGTACCTTAAACATCTAAGTACTGAATACAGTGAATGTTTCATCTACACCTAGCATTTTGTGGCGTTCATAATTGAGAATGGACCAAGTATTGGGGCTCATTGAGTCCATCCGTCTAAATTATGAAGCTACAGATTTCTAACACAATTTTAAGAACTATAAACAAGCATCTATTTTTTATCTTTAAATATACAGAACCTGGAAAACTGTGCTTTCCAAAACTCCCCCTTATAGCATTTTCTCACCCCTTTGAATGTTAAAGAGGGTTTCACATTCTTTTTTGTACCTTTGAAACCAGAACGCAGCAAGTGTTACAAACAAAATACATTCAGGACAAAGTTGTGCTGTGCTTTTGTAGTAGATTTTTGAACAACAAAACAAAACAAAAAATGTTCAAAAGAAAAGACCACACTTTTGTTTCCCACAATCCTACAGCCAGGGAATACTGCTTCAACATGCCCACTGATTTTATGTGGTCTGTTGGTTTAGTACTTATAACATTATAAAAAAATATTTTTTTGTCAGTAATCACTTTCTGCTAGCTCTCTTTTTTAACAAGGTTAGGCCAATCTGCTTTTCAACACTTCATCTGGGAGGAAGCACTCATTATTTTAAGCTACTGAATGTAGACATGCTATCTGAATGGACATGGCTGATCATCTTTTATGACTACTTGAAATGGGTACAAGTTCTCTTCTGTGTGAGGTTCCAAATTTTTTCTGTCTTTGGGCAACTTTTGTGAGGTCTGTCCTGGCAAAAGAACTAACACATAAGATTGTTTGCTTTTATAAAAATAAGAGACAAGAATAGCATGTGAAGGTATCTGGAAAGGACATACTTGCCATTCACTGTTTACACACAATTTTCAAGATTTTCAAACATACATGCCACTCTTGAAATTTGAAATTTTAATAAAAACTAAACAGTATTTCTACTTTGTGCATCAAAACATCTTAGAAAAATTTCTTTTTTCACCATACTCTCCAATATACTTTAATGATATGTGATTGGAAGTCTTTAGGTGTGTAAAATCTCCAAAATGATATGTGTCAATTGGCAACTTTAAATATTGCCCTTCGTCAAGAAAGAGTCTTGACTGATTAAGGCAGCATAGTCTGATTAGGCTAGCAAAAATATCAAGTCTCATCGAACCACAATTTATCCTTAACATTTTCCTCAAAAAGTCATAGAATGCTCTGTTTGCTCTGTTCTGTGAGGCAGAAGATTTGGCTGTGCACTTTTTCAGGCAAGTGTCACTGGCAAAAAACATAAACTTAAATTTTTAAAGTGGATGAAACTCAAACAATGAAGCAGTAATGATCTACAAAGGTACTCAAACCATTACAGCTTTCCGTTCCCCACTTTTCAGAAAATTCCACCTCATATTAGCTTGTTTTATAGGAGCATTCTAGAATATTTTTTATCAATGTGATATGATGTAAATACCACTTATTGACTCTTGAGTTCTGTATAGTTATCACTTATGAAAAGAGTTAGTATTACAACCTATTAAAATCAATTCATGAAAATACGGTATGATTACACACATACAATTACAAATTTTACCCCAGAAAAATCTGGCAAGCAATAGGATAGTTAAGAAAGAGGAGTAAAACTGACTAAAAATGATAACATTCACAGTGT